CATTAGCGTCGGATAGTATATTACACAAGGCTGTACTATCGATCAAGACAGACAAGAGGCCAACCATGTGTTTCTTACGCGTTGGAAATCCGAATCTAGGAATGCGTGAGAGGGTTGTGTCATATGCAAACCCCGGTTCTTTAAGTAGGCATTTTTTGAGGAAGCACGTCAAGAAGCTGGAAAAAGGCAATCATGTTGAATGTCGTGTTTGCAATATCAGCCTCAAAGACCGAATTGCCTTACTCATCCATGCTGAGAAGTCTCATGGAACTATCTCACGAGGTCCAGCTGAGAAATTGATCAGGTCTGTCGCATAAGCTGTAACTATATGTGTTAGCGCATCGGATACAGCNCTCATCCATGCTGAGAAGTCTCATGGAACTATCTCACGAGGTCCAGCTGAGAAATTGATCAGGTCTGTCGCATAAGCTGTAACTATATGTGTTAGCGCATCGGATACAGCCTGGAATGGCCATAGTGCTTAGAGGGGACATCGAATGAAAGCAAGGTGTCGCCAACTAGAATAGAAGAGAAAACTAGATCTAGACAACGATTAAGAGGGGCGAAGAATTAAATTATACACACTATTCAACTTCAAATCCTGCTCCTCGTGACATAATTGCCCCCTCTTATTCCGGCAATCGATTTCCTCAATCAAATCCAGAAGACNAGAGAAAACTAGATCTAGACAACGATTAAGAGGGGCGAAGAATTAAATTATACACACTATTCAACTTCAAATCCTGCTCCTCGTGACATAATTGCCCCCTCTTATTCCGGCAATCGATTTCCTCAATCAAATCCAGAAGACACCACATCATCCCACATCCTGAAAATTTCTTGGCACCCTTCGGACAATGGAGACAGGACCGTCGATGCAGATTTTTATGACCTGGACTCACAGCTGAAATGTCGCTTCAAGCTTGCTCACATTCTCACAACAAGTATTATCCACTAAGTCTAGCATTTAGGCTTTGAACTTGGTGCTGTGGAATTCNATTTCCTCAATCAAATCCAGAAGACACCACATCATCCCACATCCTGAAAATTTCTTGGCACCCTTCGGACAATGGAGACAGGACCGTCGATGCAGATTTTTATGACCTGGACTCACAGCTGAAATGTCGCTTCAAGCTTGCTCACATTCTCACAACAAGTATTATCCACTAAGTCTAGCATTTAGGCTTTGAACTTGGTGCTGTGGAANAGGACCGTCGATGCAGATTTTTATGACCTGGACTCACAGCTGAAATGTCGCTTCAAGCTTGCTCACATTCTCACAACAAGTATTATCCACTAAGTCTAGCATTTAGGCTTTGAACTTGGTGCTGTGGAATTCATGCGACGGTGGGATATACAAATTCAACCTACTTCTCTAAATTAGCACTCATTTCCTCCTCTTAGATCTTCGTTCTTGAACGGGATCAGTGCGAAGTATGGATTTTCGTATCAAGGGGGCTCTCCTTATAGCCACTAAAACAGATTTGTGACCTTCAATCTCGGCTTTCTCTAAGGGTGATTGATACTCCATATTTGTCTAGAATCTTAGGATCAGCATTCCGACGTAGTAGCCACTCGACAGCATTGAGATGTNTTGTGACCTTCAATCTCGGCTTTCTCTAAGGGTGATTGATACTCCATATTTGTCTAGAATCTTAGGATCAGCATTCCGACTTAGTAGCCACTCGACAGCATTGAGATGTCCACGAGCGGAGGACTGCCAAAGCGCTGATCTACCTTCGAGATTTCGAGCATTGATATCTACTGTTCCTGATTCAAAAATTTTGCTCAAGTCT